TGGTGTATCAATCTGAACAACAAAGTCTGTGTGATGATTGTGGTTTCAAGTCTAATATTTTCCCTTCAGACTATCTTGATATTGTCATTTATTTTTTACAGTGGAATGCTTCTCACCACCCTAAATAACTTTGAAAAATTACATTGCTAGTTGATTGCTTGAAAACAAAAATTAAAAATATTATATGAAGCTACATGTATTATTGGCTTCTATCCTCTCTCATCCATAAAAGAGTAAGAATAAAAATCACCTCTTTGTTTAACAATTTCTTATATTATAAAATTATCTCTTTATTTAATAATGTTTTATACTTTAGTGGGGGAAGAAACATGTATGAATTTTATTTTTTAGTTCACTTCAAACAAATTTAAAAAATATGATGATTTGAGCTTTTTTTCAACTTAGAAGTCATTAATTTAATTTTTAAACTTAAAATATTCTGTTGATATTTTAATTTATTTTTTTTCTTTAATTGGCGCTAAAAATATTATTATTATTTCTTTTTACGGGGAAGGAGTAATTAAGCCGGTTTAATAGGTCAAATTGTTGTTGGAAATTTTTTTTGGCAAATAATTAATTGAAACGATCACCTGTTCAATTTAAACAGAAAACAGCTTTATCTTGCGATCCAACCGCCCTCCTTATTAAAATCATGCAAAATGAACGAACATGATTTTTTCGCACCTCGCTCTTATTTATATCCTTAACACAATAAATCAATGACGTAAGCAATGACGTAATTGTAAAGAGTCGGTCACGTAACGCATAATGCCCCCCTCGTTCTAATTTGGTAACGAATAAATGTAATTTTACAAATGAATATCCAACCTCTCTCAATGAAACCCATTCTACACCGTTGAATAGTTTGCCACGTGGAAGATGGTCAATTAACGGGGCTGTCACCAGCGCAAACATGAGCGTGGATTCATCGTAACCGTAAAACATAAACCGCACTCGAACAGCCGTTGATCTTCTGCATTGTCGTCAATAAATAGGGACGGCTTCTTTGGATTGGAAACCGCCTCCTTCTCGGGTTTAGATCCCTGCGTTTCCGGAGGAGGTCGAGATTAGCTATCTGGCTTCTCTTAAGGTATGGATCTTCCTATGTTTGTTTTACTTCCTTCTTCTTTTACATCGCAGGGTATCTGATAGATTACAAGCAGACTCGTGGTACGATTTCATGGGGAGAGGCTGGTTATCCTCGGAGTTTCCAGATCTGGCGAGATCCGGTGATTTATTGAACGGGATGCGGCCGTTTTCTATCCCGGTGGAAGAAGGATGTCGTATTTACGAATCAGGTTGAGGAAGGCTTGTATACTTTGTTTCATGTAATACTGAGAAATATAGATAGGTGATCTACATGTGGATGATCGAGAAGGAACGAGAGCTTGGATTGTGGATGAGGTAACGGATGATGTGCTATATGTTATCCGATAGATGTTGTCATCCCGGCCTTTGCCATGTTGGGTGCGCTCGCATGGCAGGCCAAACATCCTTAATAAAATTAATCTTTTTTG